CATCTCGCCATCCCTGCCAAGCAATTCATCAGCCGTAGCACCAAATCCTATCTCCCTCATCACGCTCTCCACGTACTCACACTCGCTCCTCTCCCGTCCCTCGATCTCAAAGAACGCCAAGCAGTTCACATACACATCAACCAGCATTCTCTCATCGACCCTTTCCTTTCTGCTCTCAATCCTCCACCTGTCAAGGTAGTACTCGATCTTGAGCAGCGTAATACGCCGGTTTACAACCGCTGACTCGGTACGCACGCTCTCGAGCGCCATCCTCTTCCGTGTGAACGACATGCTTTTGAACTTCACAAAGAAATTGCGCAGAAATGTCCCGTCCTTCTGCTCATTTATTTTCTTCAATCGCTCCTCGTTCTGTTTTATAATTTGCTGCTGTTTTGATGACAGCTTTCTCTTTGTGGATGACCCCTTCTTGAACAGTTCTATACGCCCCATGCTTGCACCAGCAAAAAGGCTCATTGCACATTTCTTCAGGTGCTGAATGTACCGCTGCATATTTCTTTGTGTGTGCTTCTCACGTTTTATGATGAGCAGGTCCATCAAGGACTTGTCAGACCTAGAAAATGCGGACAAGCTAACAGAACTGCCCTCCATGCCCATTACCTCACTACCGCTGCATACACGCTGCTCACCAACACCTCTACTACCATTCACCAACTCTTCCTCCTTCCCACACATCCTCCTCATCTCCCTTATTCTCTCTCCCATCTCACACATCCTAACCATCCTCACACCAGGCACATCCCAACTAACCCATCCATAAACAAAAGGATACCTAAACTCAATCCCATCAGCCAACACAACCGTGAAATAATCCTCAAACACTCCTCTCTTGTCCGTAAGTATTGCTGCCACATCATCGTTGCATATGAGCTCGTCCTCATCAAATTTGAGCACTCGTACATTGAAACGATCGAACAACGCAAGAAATGATGCGTTCTGTACTACGTCAGGATCTACCAGGAGGGTTCCTACGTGTTTTAGGGTTGTTAACAGTTCTGTGCGCTTGTAGATTGCCATTTCGTTTTTTGTTGGGCAGGGTTTTTTAATATTCTTAAAAATTGAAATATTTGGGCAGGGGTTGAAGGGCCAGACATATCGGGGATAGCACGGCAAACATTGCTAACCGGTATTTGAATGCGTACGGGTGCTTTAATTGTAGGAAATGGCATGGGCATCACAGTTATGTGCAGATATGACCTGCGTCCTTGATGCAAGGATAAAGATACGGTTCGTACCACCCTTTGAATAAACTATGAACCGATGCGGTAGTTGATCTGCTCACGTGCACTAACGTGCCATGGTGTACAAATTACGGTAAAGATGTGCAATTATCTACGATATGTGAGCACAAACGCTTTTATTTCTTTACTCCACAAAAACAGCTTACGCAGTACCTGCCACGCATCCAACCAAATCGTGCCGGATCGTTCGTACAAGAAGTATTTTTGTAACACTCGTCCTTTTATTTTCATAATTTCCTTCAATTTTGCTGTATAAGCCATTCTTCACGGTTGCTTGCCTACTTAGGAAGGACTCTCTGTCCAACACCAGGGTAGGGAGCACCAAATCTTAGTAATGCTTGGCTGATGAAACGTTTATCTATTTGTGAATGCATCAAGGGCACGGTTTCTAACTGCGTATGACATTTAAAACGGGTTTGGTAACGAAGCAGATATTTTTAATCACCCGTACCAGCAAACGAATTAATAAAAAAAGGGTGAGCAACGAGAGAAGAACGAGCACACCACCAGGTAATAGCGCAACACCCTTCTTGCAAGGAGCACCCTTCCAATCTGTTGGTTTACTACCACCAGCACTCGTAAAAAATGCTAACAAAATTTACCTGCTGTTCCAGGGCATGCTGCCACACCCCCCTTTTTTACCATTTAGCGCACGATTTGCATCTCAACGATTTAATTTATCGGTGCTTGTACTAAATTAAATTTATTAAAAGCATAAGCACGCACAGGGCTCGTTCTACCAGGACACCCCGTGCACCGATCACTATTAATTTACATATTTTGGAGTGATAAGCATGAACAGAAAGGAAACGAGGATTGAAGCGTTGCTGAGGGACATCAAGAGCGGTCGTTGGACGCTCACACATTTCAGGAGTAGCACTGCCAACATTACGGTATTGTGCACCAACGATGACCGAAAGATGGTTGCTAAGACGTACAGCAGAAATACTGCCCGGTTCATAAACCACGACATCGTGAAAGCGAGCATTTCACACCTGTACACACACGGACTGGCACCAAGCATCGTACTATCGTACGATAACGGATATATACGGAACTACGTGCCTGGACGAGCACTGCATCACGAGGATGTACATACGCACCACCAGATAATTGCTCGCAAGATGAGAGAATGGCACGCGAGCAACCGCTCGGGTGTTTCGCACATGTTTAAAAACATGATGGACTGGTACTGGCACGCACACGTGCACCACAAGGAGCTATTGGAAGGGCATGGTGTACGCGATTTTATGGTGGAACAGGAGAAGAGGGTGCGTGGATTGGAGGTGGGCTTCTGCCACAACAACCTGCTAGCCACGAATATAATTGCTCTGAACAGCCCACCCAGCAAATACGATCTGGTTGTAAGCACAGATTCTGAGGAGGACGCTTCCTCAGCACCTGTGGTAAGCAACGTGCAATTTGTTGACTTTGTACATTCTGGCGTGAACTACATCGCATACGACATAGCAAACCATTTCGTTGGACACATCAGGTATGCGTTCAGTACGCACGAAGTGCCATCCGAGCAGTTCAAGAGAGAATTCGTACAAAGCTACGCAAATGACCGGTTCAAAGTCAACTGCCGAACTGTTGACAAATTGATTGAGGACGTAAATCTGTTTATACCGGTTTCGCACTGTTTCTGGGGGCTATGGGCACTTTTAATGGAACATGCTGATGGTAACGATGATGATTACGTGAGGTATGCCAGGCATAGACTGGAAATGATGAATGCAAGCAATGGCAGGAAATGAAATGCTGGTGAGCGATGTGCACATTAAAAATGGTAAGTAATTGAATTATTTGGCGTGTACAAACCTAAAGGGTACTGCAGCGGATGAAGGTAAATTTAAATGTCCGTGCTATGCGATGATCGTTCGTTTCTGAGCTGGGATAATTATTTTTATGGACTAAGGTACCTCCCAGGAACACATCGAATAAAATTATTGCAGCCTTCTGCCAGCATTGAGCAGTGCCCTCCCCTGGGCACTAAAAACGTGCTAAAAATTTGCAAACAAACGGCAGCAAGCCATGATGGTGCTGCGCACCTTAAAGGTCACTTTTAACGGATACAGAACAGCGCACGTGGTATAAGCGATTAATTTTAGAAAAAAGTATAAAAAATGTTGCACTCACCGGTTGATAAAAATGCGCTGTTTGTACGGGATGATTCACCTGAACTGTGAGAGCGTTCAACTTTTCGTTTATAACACATGTGCTAAAACGAATTTATGACCTTAGGCACGATTTTGCACAACAAACCACTTATCGTGCTACGCTTCCGATCAGAAAATACGTAATGATGACCATCGTGGGTAAAGCATTTGTTTTATGGTGGAATTGTGTAGGATGTGTAGGATGTAGGATGTAGGATGTAGGATGTGTAGGATGTAGGATGTAGGATGTAGGATGTAGGATGTAGGATGTAGGATGTAGGATGTAGGATGTAGGATGTAGGATGTAGGATGTAGGATGTAGGATGTAGGATGTAGGATGTAGGATGTAGGATGTAGGATGTAGGATGTAGGATGTAGGATGTAGGATGTAGGATGTAGGATGTAGGATGTAGGATGTAGGATGTAGGATGTAGGATGTAGGATGTAGGATGTAGGATGTAGGATGTAGAATGTAGGATGTAAAATGTAGGATGTGTAGGATGTAGGATGCTATTTTAAATTACAATTCGGTTTATTTGACCGATCCTCAATTCCATGCCGCACATCAAATATTTTATGATATCGCGTGACTACTTCTATTTTTTAAATGATACGGTCTCTTCGTGGTGCGCAGGGGGCGAAGATTTCTTCTCAACACTTCTTTGCTGTTCTTTAAAAGCTTTGCACGCTATCTGAACCACAGATCATAAATCCTGGGCTCATGCGCTGCTTCAGTCTTTGAAGACTTGGATGCAGCTCTGTTCGTCGGACTGTGATCATTCAAAAGGCTTTTGGGCTCATGTGGAGAGTGTGCACCATCGGTGCTCGGTGATGTTGTGCCAGAAGGGGCACTGGAGAAGGTTGTGCTCGATGAAGATGATGGTATTGGGAGGTGTGACGCATTAGCTCTCTGTCCTACATAATCTGGATTTGCTGTTATTTTGTAGGGCGATAAATTTTTTACAGCATACCACACATCATTCCAGCTGAGACGTGTAAATGAACGCAAATGTTCCATCTGGTCCACAATCGGATCGGCATACGTCCTAAGCGTGCTATTAAAATTTTCAATAGCATGATCTTTTGCATCGTATATCGACTGTTTTACCGCGTTGCGCACTATGTCCTGCGCAATATCATCAACTAGACCGGCGGATACGTACGGCTCCAGCAACATGAACAAAAGCAACATAAAGTCTGGGCAAGCATGTCTATTTATATTTGATAGAGATCTGCTCTCATTTGTCAATCACTTTGATCTGAAGAAAATCACAGTTTATTTGATGTATCAAATTCAATTTTGTGTCACGGAGCAAAACACTTAGATTAAAGCTGATTATTAAGTATGAATCACATCTTTGTTGAGAATTTGTTTAGCTATCAGCACAACACGTGCTGTACACGCACATCAAGTATGTCTTTGTGTATGTTAGTACCTGCCAGGGTTTGTTCAGCTTTAGGTTCACGGCCTTTCACAGATTTATTGCGAAGGATTTCTGATCTCATTTTGCACCAGAAGAGCGCGTTGTTGTGTAATGAGATGGTAAACATGTCTTTAATGGAAAAAGGTAACTTGACAGGTATGCAGAATTGCGCTTTTAGGGCAGCGCCGTGTATTTTTATTGGAAATCAGTGAAACGGCATGCAAATACGAGTATTTGCACCAGTTATAAGCGCATGCTGTGCCTTTAATTAATGAATAGATTGCCATTGGCGAATCACCACACAAACCAATCAGAATTGAAACCTAAAGTCCATCACTTACAAAAATTTAAAGATAATCACATGCTATGAAACTGTGATATTAGTTTTGAACATTTTAATTATCATCGAATGATTCTTCTCGTTTCGTATATCCAAGCAATCAATTTTGTACAAGGAAAACCAAAATTACGCTCTAATAACAATCTTACATCGTAAATGCTACAAAAAGAGCTATTCGGAAAATTTCTCACATTTGACCGGCTGTTGCACGATCCATTGGATCGATTGCCCTTCTTTGTGTAAATTTTCTGAATCACTGCCTAAATGTACAGCTGATGCGGTAGAACTGTGATACTCCATGTAGCAAATCCTCGCACGCATTTCGTAACTTTTTTCAAAATCTGAGTACAAATTGTTTCTGCCATATTTTACGATTTTCAAGAATTTCCTGATGTTCTGTAGAATTCTGTCCATATTTCCATGTTCTGACCCGTGCATTTCAATGATATTGAATGTTAAAGCTGGTAATACGGCATACTTTATATCCAAGAACAGCACAACTTTGAACTAAATTACTTATTATTGGCCGCTATGATATTAATGATTTAAGATATATAAACACGAATTACGTGTATTGGGTTTGTTTATCCTTTTTATTGGCCAAAAGATCATTCAAATGTTTTAATTATTTTTTTACGAAAAGCACGTTGATCGATCCAAAAAATATTTTAATGACCAGAACATTGTGTTAGAGGGAATGTCCGAAAATTTTGTCATTATTGAATAAGTACGTTGTCATGAACAGATATCTGTTCGTGTAACGCTGCTAAACTTGTCGTTGGACGTATAAATAACAATACGTGGTAGTGTGGTGCCAAATAATCTGGTATACCGGTTAATAATTCTTTTTCTTGTTATTTAAGTACGCATCGTATCAGTTACCACCAATGAACAAAGCTTCTTCCTGCACTTTACAATCAATTTTGGCGTGATCTGCCTTTCCGAACGCACGTGTGCTAAGACCGCTAATGCTGTACTCTCCTCAGTTTTAAGGTCCTTCAACACACGGGCAGTTTCTTACTACCTTGCACACCAGACACCTTGATTCAGGGTGCATATATTCTCCAAATGTTCACTAAGCAGCCATTATTACAGCCTAGACCGGTAGTGCCGAGTCTAAGAATGGTATATCAAAGCACTTCATCCTTGTGATCGTTTCAAACCTTTATTCGTATTTCTGTGATATGCACCGTATCATTTTACGTGCCCGTACAGGTGTAGAATCGATCACTACCCACAGCAACCACCACCTACCCAGTATTATGTCCACCAACACGGTAAATTATTGCACAGATTTTAGTGGCCGCTTTCACTGCATACATTGACAGTTCCTCTGCTCTATAAATTGCTTTTTTATTAAATGAGAGTGCATCCCTTAATTACAACGATTTTAAATGCCTATTTAATTTATACGAAATAAGACACATCAATTTTACAAAAATGGGTGTTCTGTTCTTCACTAAGGATCATTAAAATTACCAAAAGCTGTACCTCACACCTTTCCCCATTCTTTATTCATCATATCGGTCCTTTCATATTTGTAATTAATTTTTTGCACATCATCGCTACCGTTTTCGTGCCAACAGCACTGATCCATATAAACGGTAAAAAATGCTTGAAAAAACACCAGAGAGCCACATGCATAGGTTTCGCTCGCACACATCCTTCTATCGGCTAACGTTCCATTTGCAAATTTTAGCCATCTGCAACAAATAACCCTTTATTAAAATGACCACGATTTACCGCGAGTACCAGATACCGCTTCCGTTCACAATCAAGGACTATCGGGTGGCGCAGCTGTACACAGTCGCCATGATCAGTGCAAACGAGGCTACCGGTGACACGAGCATCAAGATAGCGGAGAACAAGGATATACACGACGAGAAGTATGGTGCGTGCCGATACACGGAGAAAATATTCTATTTGAACAGCAAGGTACCACGTGCGATACGCGCGGTTGTTCCGAAGAAGGCGCTGATTGTCGAGGAAAAGGCCTTCAACGCCTTTCCGACATGCCACACCTTTTACACCAACCAGGCCTTCAGCACAGACACTTTCAGCGCAAGTGTTGTATCCACGCATGTGAACAACGAGCTCACGCTCAAGAATGCATTGAACATCGATTGTGCGCTTTACGACAAGACAAAGGTAAAGGTTATCGACGTGTGCTGCAATATTGTGAATCCACAGTACGATCCCACAAACACGCCGCTCAAAATCAATGATGGTTGCCCGCTCAAGCCAGAGTGGTACAAAAACCCGTCTTATGATGTTATGATGAGCTATAAATTTGTTACGCTCAAGTTCGACTGTTTTGGGCTGGGGTGGCTTGTACATGAGATTGAGAAGCAGATAGATAAGATTTTTACAAGCTCACACCAGCAAATGGTGTGTACAATGGATGAGTGGCACGGAAAGAGTATCGAGGATATAAGGGAGTTAGAGGACAACATTAGGGAGAAACTAAACGAAAAGGAAGGAAAGATAATTGAGTAAACCGGATTTTAATGATCTGCTAAATATTCGTGCTGTGAGTGTTTTCTGCACGAGTGCTCGAAGGTATTCGTTTTATAACGTGTTACACCGATTTTGTTCTCTTCCAGAGTGTTGCATTTTTAAGGGCTGCTCGCCTTTTTTCACCATAATTAAAGCAGGGTCAGCAATCACAGGTTTACTGCCGGATGTTCTGATTTTTGGCTTGAGTTCGTGTTTTTGCAGCATGTTCTAACCTGAAAGAGGACACCCTTGAAAACCAAGCGAGATTGGTGAACGCAATGATGAACAGAATATTTTATGACCGTTTCATCTTTGGCATGCAAAATCGAGTGAAATACTTGAGTTTGAACAAGTACAAACGGGAAGTAAAAGGTATCAGGATGTTGAAGAAGTTTTTAAGCTTGCAGACACTCGTTTAAAGCACCCATCAGAAAAGGTTTTTTCTTTTTAACACCAACCTCGCAGTTTTTGAATTAAGGTATTTGGAGAACTTTGGCACTTTGGTCACTCAAGATAGACCGTATCTCCCGCTCAACCTGAGCGGTTTGAAGAGCATAAATGCCTTAAAAATTTAGTGATAGATAGCTGCGTGCTAAACAGAAAAAGTATTTTTGCTGTCCGCAACAAATCTTGAACCACTTGGAGTTACGTCCATAGCTTCTAATCTAGGTCGCAAGGCCTTATGCCCGTAAATGAACCACTTCTGGTAACAATGCTTAGATGTTGTTGTATGAAGGGATAGATGAATGACTGTTGATGAAAAATATACGAAATATTTCGGTAATTATCAGTTCAGCCTAATGTGTGCATTCATATCGGTAAATTTATGTGCTATGAAAGCCAATTTTGTAATTTTGATGCCAAATGATTATCAACCACCGTACTAGCGGTATTTTAGTAGATCACCAGTTATTTTCTCCACGTAACAAAAAATTTACTTCCATACAAAGTTAAAGAAGAATGGCCATGCAGCGTTTTTTCACATATTTTTGTCAGACGTTTCAGCTGATGCTCGTTGTCACAGCATGTACTACCCTAAGGGAAGAATGGCGTTGAATGCATCGTTGTCTACGATACAACCAACTGCTGCGACGATAACCTGAAATATAGTACAGAAGGACACACAAAAGATCTGCCAACATCATTCCTTTCATTTTCAGCTTTTTGCTCTCCTAATTAAAAAAATTGTGCACACCCCCTTGAAATGGTGAAATCAAAAGGAAAAAAGCGCTACAACACGCCACTGCGTCCGTTTGAGTCTGACCGCCTGATCAGTGAAATGAAACTCATCGGTGAGTATGGTTTGCGCAACAAGAAGGAGTTGTGGATCTTCAAAAACATCACTAACACGACAAAAAAGCGTGCCCGTGATCTTCTTATCACAAACAGTAACGAAGAACTGATTTTTTGCGGCCGCGCACTCCTCGACAAGTTGGTCTTAACGAAAGTGTTTGGTGATGACGTGTCTCTTATCACCAAGGAGGACGTCACAAAAAATTTGGAGCGAGTGCTTGATTTGGAGGTGAACTGTTTTTTGGAAAGGAGGCTACAGCACAGGGTTTTTGAGTTGGGAATGGCGAACAGCGTGCACCATGCGAGAAATCTGATATACCAAAGGAAGATCATGGTTAAGGGAAGGATCGTTAATAAGCCCGGGTATGTCGTGACCGGCAATGATGAAGCCTACATTGAGCTGAAGGAAGTGCCTGAAGGGAAGAAAAAGGGCGAGCAGGTGGCTAAGGTAGCGGTAGAGAGTTGAGTAAAAGCTAATGATTAAGAACCTGAGTTTAAACGATTTTTTGTACTGATTTCTGTGTAGCGGATTGTTGTGCGGTCGTGTTCCCGCCGTTGTTGTAGATCTTGCCTGGCACGAGTGCAGTTTGTTACTTTTATATTTTTTGTTTCGCCACGAGATCTACCTGCTGTAAAAGCAAAGACCGGTAATTCTTTTCATTTGTGGTAGTAGGAAGAGGGCGGAACACTTATACGACCAGTTTTGCTTGCTATGGCCTTCTAATAATTATTTTTTAACTCTAAGGTACGGCAGGGAAAAATGTGTTTGTGATGCCTTTGCAATTCATTCATATCTCCACATCAAATCAAGCTCTGTGCCACGAGTTTCTCGTAAAAAGTGCAGAATGTAAGTTGATTGGTGTTGAAAATAATAATAGCAGAATTCACAGCCGAGTTGGTACTTTTTCGTACGCTTTCCTCACAAGTACTTGAACATCATCCTGTGTACAGCTCTTAGTACGTACTAACAGTTGGATCTGAACTTGAATGAAAAATACCATAAATTATTACCGGGTGAGGAAATTACTTGTTCCGTTCGTACAATGAATCATCTTTTGCATTAGCTCACTGGTCCTGTTGTTGATTCCTTTGCCGATACCCGCACGATAAAATTTTTACTTCATTTTTGCACCCCTACCCAATGACTAGCAGCAAAGGTTACAGAAGACAAACACGCAAAAGGTTCTCACAGCCGTTCCGCAAGCACGGCATGCCAAATATCTCTACGTACCTCACCACATATAAACGCGGTGATTACGTTGACATAAAGGTAAATCCTGCCGTGCACAAGGGTATGCCCCACAAGTATTACCACGGTTTGACGGGCAAAGTGGCAGTTGTGCACAAGAATAGCTTGACAGTGCGATGCACACGCCGATTCGGTAATAAGCGAGTGCACCGGATGGTTGTCTGCAGGGTTGAACACCTCAGAAAGAGCAAGTGTGACATGGAATTTAACGAGAGGAGGAAGATAAACGATGAAATGAGAAAACAAGCCGAGGATGAGAACAGGATGGTTGGCAGCATGAAGCGTGTCCAGAAAGGATCAAGAGAAGAGTTCTTCATTGGGTTAGATGGAAATGAGCCGGTTGAGCTGAAGAATGAACCTTTCATTAGCGTTTATTAAATTTGCGTATTGAGTTACTTGTGTGGTTTGCGTGTGTTATACAGGAGTAAACATGTTATCGGGTCAGCCTGCCATTTGTGGATTCGTTCACCGGGTGGTAATTGTTTGGTATTGCGCACTACTCCTGTGCGATAATACGATGTTAACCAAGTTTTGATTTTTTGCATGACGAGCGCTATAGCAGTTATTTTGGATGAGTGCTGCTGATCTGTCAGAATTATGAGCAATTGAAGGTATTCTGAGCTACGGATATGATTTGAAGACAATATTTGAAGGCTTGACTAGCAATGCAGGGTTTTTACGAAATTGATTACAGGTTGCATGATGTTGAGCTGTCCTTGCATGCAAAGCATAACCGTGACAAGGTTGATTTTCGTTTCGCAAGCGCTGGGCACCACGGCCGCAGCCCTCATTTTACCCAACAATTTACAAGTTGCTGAACTTGTGGAAACGAACCGTAGTTTTTGATTCAAAGAGGGCGTGCCTCATGAACCGGCGGCCAATGGCCACGTCGGTTTACGCAGATCAGAAAAGTATGTTTGTTAAGGCAAATCGTGTTTTATGTGACAAATAAACGTACTTCTCAAAAAAGGTACACTTCAAGTATTTCATCCATCATATGTTATCCATCGAACAAAAGAGAATATTTGCGATCATATTTGTATCCAAAACGATTTACATGATTTTGCTTTTATCAAACGGTTACTTCGGATCAAAAAACTGAAATGCGCACACATAAAAAGGTTTATCATTGTTCCGCAAGTAACATGCTAGGTACACGAAAAATTTTTACATGATGAAAATAGCAAATTCCACCACAGTTCACCATTATTGTCAGTCATGATGCCTTACATAATAGTACGCTTCAATTTGCGGATTCATATTTACACGAATCGTTTCCTGTAAATAAATTTAAATGAAAAAATTTTTACCCCAGGAATTCCGGTCGACATCTACGAACCGGAGTTCTGTACGAGCTGGGATTGCCGTTCGATCATCTGAGAAGTGCTCAAATTAAAGTTTTTTGCCTTTTGCGAGTGTTGCACATGGCAATTTCGATATGTTTACTTTTGATGGTTTGAGGATTGTCATGCTGCTGGTTAGCTGTTTTGCATCTATGGCTCGTCTCTGTGCTAGCGCAGATGGCATTAGTCTGTGATGAGACATCATGCACCACACTGATTGTGATGACTATGGTATTCTGAGACTTTCGTAATGATGTTCCTACTTTTTAACTTTGCAAAGATGTCTTCCTCTATTTTGTGTAACACAGCTTCTAGATCAGTTATTTGGGTGAATAATTAAATTGTGTGTGGCATGGTATCCATTTTTTTCGTCAAGCATACGGTCCGTTGGACGCATCCTTTGTCAAAGAAAGCTTTGAATGTCACGCCTTACACGATGAGCATTCCTGTATTTGCCGTTATCCGATCTGCAACAGGCTATGTTTTACTATTTGAAGCTGTCAAATATAGGTTTAGGCAAGCCTGGTATGTGACAAGACCATGTACATGATTTTGTGTCAAGGTGTTAATCGGGCCTATACTAGTTCTATTCATTAATGTTTGTTACAGCCTGACGAATAAATGAATTTGCAGCGGATGAAATGACCGCTCTCTTCTGGTTGTTTATTGTGAGAGTTTTGGAAGAGCTTGCAACCGCGTAAGTCATTTAAAAGGCTTGTTAACGTAGCCAGCACGTTAAAATTTCTATTTATATGATTTTATTCTAAAAGGTTGCGAAGAGCGGGCATTTTTTGTATTTTTGAACGAGGGAAGGTGATGAGCTGCCTATCACGTCCAAAAGAAGGCAAACAACCATCGTATCAAGGTAACACTTGAGGGCTGTTTTTTATCATCCTTTACAGTACTGATTGCAGCAACAAAAAGGCATTCCGTGGTACAGCCTATGCCTAAACACATTTTGGTGTGCACCCAAAAGCTCTTATCTTGTGGCGGATTCTCCAAATCGGACAGCTTGGAAAAACCATAGAACTCTTTTCTTATCACCGATGTAAAACTTTTTGACATTTCAAAAGTAATGACACGCAAACATTCCCACAACTATCCTCGTCCTATGTCCAAAAGTACACTTATGCTGATCGCAAATGGTTGTATTAATGTCAAACGACGTGATTAATGTCATACCTGTTGATTTATCAGTTGTAAGAGTTATCGATCATGTCCAATTCATAATTTATTAAATTGCTGAAATGTTTTCTGAACCATTCACCATGGCTGAGGCTTTAAACACTAAAGATAGCATTTATGTGCTATTTTTACACCGATGCTTGTTCTTCATTATCGGCATAGCATTCGATAAAGAGTTTTAGGAATGTTACACGTGAGTGCTTTACTCCTTTTTGATTTCTAGGTGGTTCTGACTTTTACTTGCTCGCTTCTTCTTTACTCAGCAGCATTTGTTGCTCGTGTATTTCTCCAATCGTTACAGAAGTGTCATTTTTCACCTCCTGATAATTCATGAATTTTTGATATGTTGATTCGGAAGACAGTGATAAAACACTAAAAAAAAATATAAATAGGTGCGTATCGCCGCATTCATGGCGCAAATAACTGGATGTCTGCAGAAGAACAAGCTATTTTTTACTATTTTAGCGATCCTTTCAGCAGCGTTACTTTGCACAGCGTTGCTTTACGCAGTTCTTAGCAGAATGGGTGCCAAGAATCTTGCAGCGTGCAGTTTCTGTGATGGTGATGTTTTTCCTAAGGAGGAGATCTTCGATGATTGTGTACAGCCTGGTTGTAAGTCAGTCGCAAAGGAAGAAAGAATTGATGAACATGTAGTTGAAAGCAAGGCGGTGATTGTTGAAGACTCACCGACGGAGAGCAGCACAGCATCTCTTTCGGTTACCAGTGATGTTGATGAGGGCATACGTGCGGTGGATCAAGAATTGGAAGGCGCGAATGAGGTGGTTGAAGTTGTTCAATCGGTTGTTACTTTGGATTGTGACCAGAGTAATCCAAGTGGTGATGTCGTACAGGTAGCAGGTTCTGATAAAGACTTTCGAGTGGCAGTCGATGATGTAGAGCCTTTGGAGGACGTTTCTGGCGTACTATTGGGATGTAAAGATCGTGAGAATAACGAAGTGATGATCACCAACACGGATGAATCAGGGCTGTTGCAGTGTGATCGTGGGAAGTCGAAGGGCCGTTGTCCGAACGGGGCCATGCGGCTGGTTAATAAAGGTTTGGTGCGATCTTTAATTGATTGGTACAATGAGTTAGATCGGGTGGCACTTTTGGAAGCAAAGCGTGCTTCAAAGAATTTTCGTGGCACTTTTTCGAGTCTGGAATCAGCACCTGATAATCCAAGGAAGGTAGGAGAGATAATGGCAGGAAAGGATAATGAGGAGTAGTTAAAAGTATAGGTTGTTATTTTTTGAGAGTTCTGAGTGGAGGTTTCTTTCCATTTTGGCTGATTTTGTTTCCATTTTGGCTGATTTTGCGCTCATTTTTAAGAGGCAAATTGTATTGTTCACCAACAGGTGAACATGCTGATACTGCAATCATATGGCCTGTTGATGCGAGCAATCACAGTGTAAAGTGTGCTATTTTCGCTTCGCGGTTTGTTGATGTGGAACAAAGTGTGTGCAAAAGCAGTAAATATATCCGTTCTGAAAATTTGTCGTATTTTTGATCGTAAAATTGCGGTATTGTTGGTATGTGCTTCATATGACATTACAAGTTCCGAAGAACAACTCATAGCACGATTGTTCACGGTTACTTACGGACAGTAAGGATAGCCATACGAAGCAAATATTCATATCCCCCTGCGATAGAAGAACACTGTTTTATTGATACATTACTGCGCTCAAAACATGTTCAATTTTTTGACCGTTTTATAAAATAACCATTCAAAGTACCAATTATGAACGCCATAGCATTTTTAGACATACTATCAGCATCGCAACAAACCACGGCATTTATCCACCTACTTGTCATTAAAAACCTCATCATTGCTCGAAACAGAACGAAAGGCATTACGCAATAGTACAAACACTTTTTACCATAAGTTACCTTCCATTGCCAGTATTAAAAGCAAATCTGTTCCCTGCAAAATTTCACAACTTTTCTTTCCTTACCATTTTTATTCGCAACACATTTCCGCCACCCCGGAAAAATGGACAAACCTGCTCCATCCTTCATATACAAGGTCAAACAAAAACCAAAAGTGATGAAAAGCAGCGATGTTAAGCCGCTATTTAAATTTACCAGGAAAAGAAAGGAGTACGAAGAGAGCATACGGTGCGATGCTATGGACAGCAAATTTTTTGTGGACGGTGGGGCGGTAAGCAATTTGGAGGGAAAAAATGGTAAAAGGGCTAACAGCACCGAAAAGTAGTGAAATGAGGAGAAGAGATGCAATGAGACGGAGAATGGTGAGCGGTCAAAACGCAAAAGATTGCGTGAATGATGTTCTTGAGGTTGAAGAAAAGAAGGAAATAGGCGCCATGGTTGGAAAGCGGTCTGTGAAACAAAATATCAGGAGGTATGAGAGTAAGAGAGAAAATGAGCACAAAATAAATGGTAATTGCGAGGTAGCAGATAACATTCTAGTTCAACAAAAACAAGTATTAGCTACTAATCAACCAAGTGGTGTGTCACAGCAGATCAATGATGATGTGGTGCTTATGGACGATGTATTGGTAAAAAAGTTTAAATGTGCAAACATCGATGAGAAGTGCTATAAGACCGTGGTTAAAAAGGAATTACGTGATCAAAGTGTTGATGTGAGCGGTGCCAGAACGTCTGTGAATGCTACGGTGACAGGAATCAAAATAGTTAATGATGTAGCCGTCCAACACAAAGTCGTAACAAATGGCAAAATGATCGGTGATGTCGTAAGTCAAGACGTAAATGTACGTAGTTCTGCTCCTTTACCCGCATCCGTGAGAACCAAGAGCAACATAAATGCCAACAGAACATCACCGCTAAAATACTTCCTTTTTCTGGACAATAGCGATTCTGAGGAGAAGAGAATAAACCAGATCATAAGAATGAGCTTGGATTATCTTTCTGAGCAGGAAGAGTCTTTCAAAAACTTGGACCTAAAGATAGAACTGGATGACAAGATAGTACAGGAGAAAATAAAGGGGGTAGAATGTGAAATTGAAAGATGCAAATGTGAAATAGAAAAATGGGAAAAAATAGGAAAGGAATGCGCAGCGAGCTGCCTTAAAGAAGGAATAAAATTGGGAAGAATGAGCAAAAGTACGCGACATGAGGAAGAAGATAGGACCGATAGCAGGGTTTTAACCGAACAAAATAGAGAAAGGATAAAGAAGCTGGCGCTCATGATGAATAAGTATATAGAGGCATGCAAGAACGGGTGCGAGGAAATTTACAGGAAAATGTTTGCGATGGTCAAGGGTTCCGATTTGGACCCCTTGCTAGTTTTGAAGACTTTGGCCAAGTTAAAGCGAGTGGATGAGTAACACGGACATTGTATTATTAGCGATTTATTAAATGATACTTATTATCTTGTTGTGCCGCGTTATTTATGAGGCTCTACCTGAGAGCAGGCGTAGATTTGGCGTGTTTGAAACTTATTAACATGGTAAACTAGATATGCTTTACAGCAGAATAAATGAGTGTATCGCTGCTCTCTTCACTTCGCTTGCCATTTCCTGTGGTGTATAGTTTGGTATTACCGATTATGTCTTCGTTGTAACTTTTTGTTGCGTAGATGCCGACAGCACGGTAGACTTAGTTAATTGATCAATTAATTAATCATGGCCGCTGTGTACTCAACATAGAATTACGATTCACGGTGATATTGCGGTGTTCAATCAATTATTATAAAAATTGTTCAAAAGTATCTATGAGAACATCAACCCATGGACGAAGAACAGGTCATAGACTCACCTAACAAACAACAAATATTCTCATTCACGATATACACACCAATATGACAATCACCTGATTGCTTTTTGAGCACTACACAGGAAACATTTCTGTAGCAGAGGTCGTAACATAAAGCATGGTTTACTTTATGGTGTTCACCGTCTAAGATCACGTATGATAACACTATTGTTAAAATCATAACATACATGCAGCATTAGAACCGTCCTCCTTGATAATAGTTGTCGAAACATGGCCAACTACCAAATTTGCCCGTGTTCGTAAAAATATACCTCGTGATGCGTTCAACAACACAATCATGTATTTTAAGGTGAAATAAAGTATAAAACCGGTATATCCTTTTAGATCATTCACAAAGTTGCACTGTAATACGTTAATTATCCATAAAACTTTACTATTACGCTAGCTACTAACACCTGCCTTATTCCAGCACAGCAATACGGCCAGATTGTGCACGCTGTGGCAAACTAAGCTTACAACCAGGTTGTGAGTTACATCAACAAAGATTGTGTATAATATTCCGCTAATCAGGCGGTAAATATAATCATTTATGATTATTACCTCGTAGAAATAATGAGCAGTGGCGAAAAGTACCGAGCTTATTATGATCAGATAGAACAGAACCATTAAAAAGGTTATTTCTGCTGTTTCGAACACTGTGTAGATGTTGAGATCCTTTATAGTTTCTTTTCTGTGTATTATACCATTCTTGGCAGCTGCTCTATTCGTATGTTCATGTGCAATCTCCTCGTTTTCATCGTGAACATGTGGTGTATTCCGAATATCGGTACGAGAACCGCCATGACGTTCTTTATCGATCCATACTCGCTCAATACCTACCATCCCGTACGTCAAATTTTGAAAAAACACATGTCTGAAGAAGAACTCTTCAAATAATGGATAGAGGATCACATCCCGCAAAAATGAGCGGCGTGTGAGATCCCTGTCCACAACGCTGTATTTCAAGTTGAGCGCAAGCAGCAAAAAGTAAGAAAACATTACCAACATCGACTTGTACCTGTTGTGGTAGAAAATGACAACCTGGTTCAGAAGATACTTGCAATTTGTTATAAAAAGGAAGATTGCATAGAACGATTCAAGGAATATATTCACCTTTACGCACGTGTCGTACTCCATGCTCGATAATTTCAAATTGTGAAGCTCAATGCACCGAGTTTGGTAATATTTCAGACCGTAGTACGTTATTACCAAAAAAAGACCTGCTATTACCGAAAGCGTGATGCGCATCGACACGCAGTGAGAAAAACTGAACGACATTCCTGTCAGGGTGAGCAGAAAGACAAAAAAGAAAGTTAAAATAAGAGTTCGACATGATAAAGCAAAGCTGTTTAATATCTGAAAAAGGTACAGCAAATGGTTCTCTTTCTCATTGTAGGAAGAAAAATATCTTGGCGTCTTGTATTCATTTTGATGGGCCGATAAAAACACTTTTTTGACACATAAACCGTATCCATAAGTCTATCAAGTACTCACCGCAGTAATGTTATGAGATTCTACCACGTATTTGTTGATGTACTTTAGGCGATATCTTCTTTTCTCAAAGAAAACTTTTCAGCCAATCCCCAGTCCATCCTGCCAGGTCACACCAATAACATAAATTACTAGCTGTGCCACCCCGTTTCTCCAAGAGTTCTATGGACAATACTGACCAGTGATTAACCATAAAACCTAAATAAATAAAAATCTATCCCTGAAGCAAAGTTTCAAGACTTCACTCTGAAGGCAAAGTTGTTATCGCTTAACAAAACGTTCATTTACAGACCAGGGATCAAACTAACGGTTTGTGTTTTATTGAAGGTACATGCACGTGTTCAAACCCGCATGTCGTTCAAAAACATTCAAATTAGCGTTGCTTTTGCTGCTTCTGATCATTTATTGGAACGCATGGTCATACATACTGTGATTTTGCGAGAAGTGGTCGAAATAATAACAAAAATCAGTTTCATTTTTTCACTCCTAAAAAGCACCGATAAACACGCAGAAGTACACCCCCATGCTTGTTGATATTGCAGTTTACGATAAATTCAATAACTCGCTATTGCTCACAAAGGTGGATACCACCAATCCTGGAACGGTCATAATATACATTGGCGGCATGTTGTCGGACATGATGCATCCAAAATTTGTATTTGACATGGCTGATAAAATGCATTTTGCAAGCTTTGTACAGCCAATTCTACGGTCACACCCGTTCTTTGGATTATGGAGCCTTGCAGATGATGCAGAAGATATCGAGAGGGTGATAGAACACGTTTGCAAAAATTTTAGAAGAGAATTCAGCAAAGGTATGACAGTCGATACAGCACATGGCAACAGCGCTGAATATAGCGAACTGCCAAAAATAATACTACTTGGTCATTCCACTGGCTGCCAATCTGTTCTGCACTATCTTAACACTCGATTACACTCGTCAAAAATTACCTGTGCAATATTTCTGGGACCGGTGAGTGATCGCGAATATGAAGAAAGCGTCAATCCGAATCTGAGTTACAAACTTGAGCTTGCTCGGAATAACCCAGAAATGACGTTCTTGCATTTTAATTCTCCGGTGAAGGCTCAACGCTACATTAGTCTTTTTACTAAGTATGGCGACGATGACCTGTTCAGCAGCGATTTGCCAAACGAATTTTTTAAGACTCTCAACAAGAGCGGGACACCTTTACATTTTCTGGTCATGAGAGACGACGAATATATGCTTAAGAGCAATGTGGATTGTTTGAGACTGGTAAATAACGCTGATGTACGAGTTATTGGTGGTGATCATGTCTTTGGAGGTGGTGTTGATGAAATGTTCGGTGTTCTAAGTGAGATAGTGCAAAAGTATCACTAGTAAATATTTTAACTCAAAAATGGATATTTAACTGTAATTTACAGCGTACTATAAGAGAGTACAATACTTGTAATGGGGAGTATTGTTCATTCCTACTCTGTTAATAGTCGAATTGTGCTGCATCCTGGATTAAGATACAGTTCTATGCTGTAACCAGTGATCTGTCATGTCATAAGGATACTTCTAGGGAAGGCCGTTCAGATTCAATTACATATTAAAGTGCCAGAAAAGAGCAACCAAACGAACGAGCGGATGCAGTTCAATTAAGAGCTATTATTTTGAACAGTGACATGCACCTTTTAAGTGGCGCGATGGTTATCAAAACATACTATTGCTGTTTCCTGAAATAGAACTAATATTCGATACCACAGCATCACGAAGTAGGGAGTAGCAGATTTCACGAGCATAAAAATGGTCAGAATAACTTCTAGTGTTGTATCTTCACGCAAATAGATCGAATTGTTTCACCAAAGATGGTTTATTCTTGATCGATTGGTAACGGATCAGCTCTTGGAATTAAAAGGATAAGACGATATCGCACAGTGGGAATATATAGGATAAGATTGGAGAGCACCAGAGTAAACTGGTGTGTACAAGAACACCACTTCGAAATTGGTTACTCAGTCGTGTTAATTTGTGTGAACAAAATCGAGTACTTCGTACTTATTCTATCGCAGTATCATATAAAATTCAGACCAGATATTTCATTGTTAAAGACATATTATTGCGATTTTAGCAGCCGCATTAGCTCAGCGGTAGAGCGTCAGTCTTGTAAACTGAAGGTCGGTGGTTCGAGACCGCCATGCGGCTTCGGTTTTACGTGAGACTGATAACATTATACGGGAGTTTTTGCGGGTTCATGCGACTTTACGTGGTGATCGCTCGGCTTTTCGCCACGCTACAACAATGTTCTAGAACCCTTTCTGCATCTGAGCGAGAAAAGCTAACAAGAGAGGATGCGATGCACAAGTAAAGCCTTTCCTCGAATTGATGAGTCTCTCGTAACAAATGGAACTTTTTGTTTTTTTTCTTGTGGATACTGCAGCATTCTTCTAATCGGTATACACGGCAGCTGTAGCACGCCTTTCCGCTACAATTCGTTTCTCATCGTTCACTGCCATTCTCAATCACAGATGAAACAAAAACAAATTAACAATATAATCGCGGTGTGTACGCTCGCTATGTCTGAAGACAACAGCCGTATTCTAGAAATTTCAATACCAACGCACAAAAAGCTCAACAACATCACGCATTACGAAGTACTGTGCATTACCAATTTACAAGAGTACAAGAAATGCTATTCGCGTGTTTTTCGCCGCTATAAACAGTTCAGACACCTTTACAAAGTTCTAAATGGAAAGATCGTTCAACCAGAGTTTCCCAAGAAAAGGTTTTTTAATTACAAAGAAGAGGTAATAAAGGAGAGGATGGCAATGTTCAGCGTGTGGCTGAGATACATTGCTAAGCTGGTAGATGACAACAATTGTTATGGCGATGAATGGGCAAAAGAGGTGCTGCGTTTTCTTCAGGATGATAAGTATCCTGGTTATAACTAGGAATTGGTATTGAGCGCTTAGCCGGTAAAAAGTCATTTCCTAGGTTGCTTTCGTGAATGAGCATGAAGTACTTCTGTGTTCCATGGTGCCGATAGATGCTTTAGCAGGCGACTTGGAGTAAAATCAATTTCTGTTTCGAAAATGTGGCATAGTGGAATGCGAGTTGAATCCATTAAACCAGATTTATTCGCTGTCTAGGGAAAATACAGACTATCGTAAGTTTCCACACAATTGATGTTTCAAAGTCAAGCAAACGCACGACCAAAATCTGTGTGAAAGCAGTACAGCGAACAATACTCTGTTTCTTACGCAAATTATAGAAGCAATGAATTAAAACCTCAATCCATCCTAAGTATCCCATGAAATGGTCTAATTTTCCAAACTAGTGAACTTCTACAAATTTGGTTCATCTAACGTACTGCATACCCAAGAAATATGCGAAGTTCTGTTGCACCGAACCGTTGCAAAACAAATTTTAATACCCGGGACATTCTGCGGGTACACGTCCAAATATTTAGATGGTAAGCAAACAGCATTAAAAGTAAAAAATCGGGGACGAGTTAGCGCACTTGATCTATCAATACTTCCGTAAATGCTCTTAGCAGAATTGTTCACATAAGCATTTAATTATTCACCTGTAAAACGTGTCTTTACCAGCAAAAAACACGTGGCGTACGCACTACCGTAAAAATAAGAAAATTAAATGATGGACACGCTCTCACAGCTCGAACTGTCCCTCACTTTCCATTCTTTGTTCACCATACTCACTAAAACACATCCACAGAATAACACACGTATAAAATCGCACATCATCGGCAAAGTCATCATTGATCGATCCGCACGTGACCGTCTCTGTGATAGTTTCCTCACATTTTTTTACCACTTGTTGAATGTCTGTATGTGTGTACTCTTTCAGAATATTTTTGGTAACCGAAAATACAAATGCTTCAAGAAGCTTAAGAATGTTGTTCTGCATGAGATAGGATACGAATGGCCTAATTAAGAATTGAGCTTTGTTACACGTTTGTGCGTAGAAATTGATCTGATTGTTCTTGGTTGCACTGGTACTTGAGGATTTGCTTTTTGTTGCACACGCATCGATCGATTGTTCTCGCTCTTCTGTACCTTTGCCATCGAATGATGCAATATTTATATTAGTGCAATTTTTGTTGGTGCAATTCGGTTCATTTTTCTCGGTAGCACTGACATGTCGCTCATCACTGTTCTTACCGCTTTCTTGCATCTCACTTGTGTTTGTCTGTGGTTCATTCTCATCTGATGCCTTCCCAGATTTGTTCTGTGGTTCATTCTTACCATGCTCTGCACACTCATCCACCACATCCACTTCCTCACGCTCGTTATTCATTCCACCCCCATCACCGCCCGATTCATATCTTCTCGCGCCATCATCCCAATAGCTGCCCATCCATCCCTTCAACCTTTCATAGTCACATTTGAACACCACATAGAACATGTAAACCTCCTGTCTGACCATCTCTTCTATCACAAACATTTTTGTTCCCAGTGCACCTCCTAGTTCTCCGCACTTTCTCTTCCGTTCTCCCAAATACTTAACCATCAAAAAATACCTCTCCTCTGGACTAAACACATGTACAAATGATAGTAACTCGTTGTTACCCAGAAGCGCTGCCGTATTTGTTATTGATCTTCTAAATTCGGCCGCAAAAATACAACGTATCCGCTTTTTTACTATTTCCTGTTTAAATTCGTAGTCAGCGTGTCCTAATTTCGTACATAGTTCGTTATAGAGGTTCTTTAAATCAGTAATGGACAATGAATTAAGCGTGTTTTCGTTTGAGAAGAAGTTTATAAGCTCGTACGGTTTTGTTCTCTTCTCAGTTTCTTTCAGTTCTCGGAAGGTTTGCATCTTTTCGTGTAGAATCGATTGCAGAGTATCGAACGATTTTATAAAGTCCTTGAAGCTCTTTTTATTGGACTGGTACGTTGTGTACGAATTTAGAGGCGTTGGTTGGTCCTTTCCCTTCTTGTCATCAATGAACGCGGTGCCCAAGGTAGGCGTGCTGCTGATAGTGCAATCAACATTCATCTCGGTATTCTTGTTCATTTTTTCTGTATCCTCGCACGGTGCGCGGCTGACCACGCTCTTCCCGGTGCCAGTGTGCCCATTTTCGTATTTCACCCCGTTCTCGACACTACTATTAGCTCCTACCCTCTCAGCGCACACAAGCCCATTCTTAACTAACACCTCAACATCGCCCTCCATTTGTACCTGTCCTCCTGTCTCATTCTCTGTTCCTTTATCTTTTATCACTTTTACCTCTGAGTCAAGATCAAACTCCTTCATTGCTGTGCTCTTCCCCATCTTATCGCGATCTTTTATTTTGTTTGTTTCACGTACCGTTGTAAATGACCTATCAAGTTTAATTAAATGATTAATTAGGCAAAACAACCGACCGCCACTAATAACGCCGTATAACGTGGAAATGGTGGATGTGTTACCTATGCTGGGTAATTTCAAGTTTTTTATACGGAGTTACACATGCTTTTCACGGTGCTTCTTACATGTATTCTGCGGTTTTACCACATTTAAATTTCCGGTTTCTACTCACGGAAGAGAAACATCTTAGCAATTGGCATGCATATGTTTCGATCTCCTGAGTAACCCAGAATACGTGTTCGCCGCCTACTACACAAAAGGAAACGCAATTTTTTTAAAGAGTTTGTTTAATGTTAACATGCGAGTGTTCCAAGTAATCAGACACCTGTTCGAATATTGGTACAGCAGACTGACAGATTAGACCAATAAATGTTTTGAACCATAACATGGGGCAAATCCACGGTCGAAATGTGTAACGCCAGCAGTTGCATATGTTTTTTATAAGAAAAATGATTAAGGTACCTGACATGACAAGTATCAATGGTTATGAAGCAAAATGTTTGCAACCAAAACATGTATTAGTGTTTGTCTTAGTGCTATGTTTGTCTCAGAAATTCGTCAGTAATGATCGGTACCAATGGTGTGGCGCATTTTGAATCTCCTCCGTTAAGACAGGGATCAGGTTCAAAGCAGGAAACAGCCGCATGACTCTGTACGAGCATTTAATCTGATCTGCCGACATGCACCCAAAGCTATTGAAGCAATCCCCATCGCTAAAAACCACTATTATGCTAACTTTATACTGTGTCAATATTACAGCATTGCACAACACTACACCTCGGCATTACGTTGCTTATTCGTACGTTTAGTACTGCATTCTCTCGACGCGAATAGGCCTCTTAGCTCAGTGGTTAGAGCGTTCCCCTAGTAAGGGAAAGGTCATGAGTTCAAACCTCGTAGAGGCCTTTTTTTAACGTTCCAAAAAGTTTAATCTCACACGCAAGCAAACGCAACAAACACCTGGCAAGATCCAAATAACATCGCTTTATTTTTACAACTGCTCTCATCAACTGGTGGTAGTGATGCATTATCCTTGCCATCTACGAATTACCTCTTTCTCCTCAGTATTTCCAGCACCTTGCCCTTGCCGTCATCCTGATCACTGGACATTACCACTTTTTCAATTTCCAGCAGTTTTTCGTAATAGAAATTCCTCTCTTGTTCTAATTGCACGATGAACTCCGTGAACACTTTCAATTTCTGTTCGGCACTGTCCAGTTGTGTTCTGCAATTTTCCAACAAATCATCATCTCTTGTTCTTGTGTTGATGTTATTCACAGGCTCTCTTACTTTCAATGTACCTATCCTATCCTTAGCTGCTCGGTATAAAATATCGCTCTCAATACCTGATTGCTCAGGAGTGCAGCGATCATTCAAGCCGATTTCAGTGATAATATCATGATTGCTTCCAACTCTCGGTTCATTAACGCATTTTATCTCGTCGTTCAATCGCCTGTTATCTCTTTTTACGCTATTATATCTCCTTTCCAGGTCTGTTTTTGAATTTTTTCCGCTATATTTTACCTTTCTTATCTCTTTACTCCGCTCTATCAAATCGTACTTAGGTCCGTTATCACCATTGTGATCTACCATTAGGCCGTTCTTTGCTCCTTTCTTAGTACTTTTCCGATCATTGTAGCACATTTCAAAGTAGTGTTTGACCATCAACTGCGCAACCTCCAGATTATCCTGCAATCTGCAACCAACCATTTTATCTACCGGAAAGAATACCACTATGTTCATTTTCACTAAATATCTTTGCACAATCTTCAAGTTGTTGAATCGCTCTGGTTCTGTTTTTGGATTGTCATTGATGGAGTGTATCGGAAAATCTGGATATAACTTGTGAAGTAGTTGGGCATACACTACACCGGTGCCTAGAGATTCTATGGATGGTATGGAATGGTTCAAAACGGTGGATAGGAATGAGATAAGCTGTGATTTGGTTGTGGGTGGTTGTAATTTATGGGAATATGTCGACATCCGAGATCAACTAGGGGTACACGAGCAGGATGCAATGAAAAAGGTTATGAATGTGAACATAACAAGATTTTTTCATATGCCAAAGACACAAAACTATAACAGCAGGTAATTAATGGTGGATATGCACGGATAGCTCACTTATTTTGCCAGAGTTTGTGATACCAAGTCTTCAGAGATAAAATTTTACAACCAGAACTTTTGATAAATTTAAGACTGACCGTTGATTCGATCGAGCTTAAAGATCAAACTGGAACACTTTTTGCCTCTAACTCATGTCGGGATGTGTAATAAAGGAACGTTTATAAGATAATTATTGCCATAGAGGTTATTCCGTGGTATTGCCGCAACCATGGGACTAACAATACATTCGCACCACTGATGACACTTCGTTTTGTCGATTAACATGGAAACAAAGACCATACAGACACATAACCTTAGTAAGTGAATTGTTCACATCATCCTTTCATTGGCCAATGGTGCATCAACATTCCCCTTGCGTTCTCGGTACGTTTTGCACTACCAATTGAACACATACCTCTTCTAGAACGTGATAGTGCTCATTCCTTCTCTACATCTCCTATTATTATAATAAAATTATCATCAGTTGCTCATAAAAACTGCGTAAGGACAGCAGTTCACAGGTATTTTCATAAACATATTTTATTAAATATCACTAACAGCCTACTTTGTGACACAGGTTGAGGGATGTCATCAACAAAAAAACTTTCCAGCTGCTAAAGATCTCTTATCGGTTACTGCTCCATATTAACCGTCATTAACAAATCGTTCCATACATCCTGTAGAATAATTTTTATGGAACCATTAATTAATGATTTCGTCCGTTCTTCATCATCTAAAGATGCTTCTCTGTCATTCACAAGTGATGAATCATTCAATTTCACATTGTTCGTAGATGTTGCTTTGCCATTCATAACCGGTAGCTTATCCTGTTCGACATTATGTAAAGGTTCTACCTTACTACTCGCTGTTAATGACTCAGTCTGATTATAATTTCCTGATTGTGTCTCATTATTAGTTACTCTTGCTTATCTTCCAGCTCTGAACTTGTTGGCTTCACCATTTCATCATTTACCTCCTGCTCCTCGTCATGTTCATAATCGTGCGAAGGTATCGCTGCATCACCTGCCCCCTGTTGAGAATTCAGTTCTGAACTTGTTGGCACCACCATTTCATCATTTACCTCCTGCTCCTCGTCATGTTCATAATCGTGTGAAGGCATCGTTGCATCACCTGCCCCCTGTTGAGAATTCAGTTCTGAACTTGTTGGCTTCACCATTTCATCATTTACCTCCTGCTCCTCGTCATGTTCATAATCGTGCGAAGGCATCGTTGCATCACCTGCCCTCTGTTGAGAATTCAGTTCTGAACTTGTTGGCTCCACCATTTCATCATTTACCTCCTGCTCCTCGTCCTGTTCATAATCGTGTGAAGGCATCGTTGCATCACCTGCCCTCTGTTGAGAATTCTGCAAAGGTTCATTTTGTGCGCTGTCCTTTGTTAAATACATCATAACATCATTCGTTTGTGCCGGTGACTTTTGTTTATTTGCCTTAATCTGCAAGTCCTCCATACCTATGTCGGACAGCACATTATGTGCCATATTTCCTTGTTCCCTTAGTTGCGAAGAAGTCGATTCTTCCAACATATCGCTCAACTCATGCGCTTGCACCTCAGAGCTTTTCCCATCATCAACACCTCCCTCGTGCCTTAAAGCAAAATTTTTCCTTTCTACATCTAAACCAACCAGGTCCTCCTCTTCTACTCCTCTAGTATTAGTTGGTAGTTCAAAATCTTCATCTACCTTATCTTTACCCACCGCTATCATAGCTGATACTCCTTTCCTATCATCCTTACTTTGATCTGATGGCACACTAGGCGCATTAGTTCGTAGTTCTTCACTTTTGGCATTGCTTTCAACTGCGTTACCCTCTTCTTGAACCCTACTACGTACTTTTGCAAGATCTGGTATATCCCGCGCTTGTGTCTCAGATATTCCTGCCAATGATATCTTACTACATGTTTCTGGACATTTCCTTTCCGTCCATCCCCTTGAACTGTCCTCCAACATTTTTTTCGGAACTGTTCGTTCTTCCTCGAATACGCGCACCGGCTTTTCGTCAATTAGCGATGTCTTCACGATACGGTTCTCCTCTTCTACCGTACCTTCGTTGTTGCACATCTCAATCTCTCCTCCACGAGCCTTTTCAGCCAGAATTTCCGATCCTGAATCAGATAACTTGTACCAATTCTTGCGACTGATATACAAGAAAATAACAATGGAAAATGTCAAAACGAGTAGCAGTGCACAAAGCAGACAAAAAATTTCTTGTCGTCGAATCATTTCTTGAGGAAGGCGTATTTTTCTAATTAAACCTTAGGCCATAAAAGGAAGGACACTAGCTTTGAACATAAAAAGTAACAGAACAATTCGCTAGTAATGCCGTAATAATGGCAGCATTGTAATATAGAACTGAGAAGCATGTTTAATAGCAAGTATTTCTTTAAATTGCTTCCTATCAATTCTTCAATAGATAATTGATAAGAAATAAAAAGAGTGCACATGACGTAGTGATTGCTCGCGGACAGAAAAGTACAGTTCAAAAATCCAATCGTGCAGATCATTACCGTATAAACACGTATTTATACAGCAGTATTTCATTTACAGACCAAACGTAGAAACACATTTTGTTTCTGTGCATGTAAGACTGCACAACCAAAGAACGTAAGCAATTTACAACCACGAATGACACTCACACAGATGATGTGCACATGACACAATGTTATCCATAAATGACGCGACAAAGTGGTTCGAACATTAATGGCAAAATTATAAATCACTAAATGCACCGTCCCATTTTTCAAAAACGGGTGTATGAATGGATAGTATACCAAAACAGCGCTTTGGAATGTGACTAAACGTTAGGTCATTCCTTTCTACCAACTGTTCCATGGTTACAAATCAATAAATTTACTTGCATTCTAATGGCTCATTGTATACAACATTTCTTGTGTATACTTTAACATTCTCATGCTTTCCTTGGTCTCCATTGTCAGCAACATATACCCTTAGACCGTTTTCATAGCGCACTCTCGACAAAGCTACGTACAACTGACCATGCACAAAGACTGGGTAGTGCAGATAAACACCTACCTTGTCAAATGACTGACCCTGTGACTTGTGGATTGTCATCGCAGACGAAAGAAGAACCGGAAACTGTCTTCTCTTGAATGAATGCTCGCCGTTTTTGTCG